TTCACCGCTGGTTCCGTCCAGCCCAGAGACCCCTTCACCGCTGGTTCCGTCCAGCCCAGAGACCCCTTCACCGCTGGTTCCGTCAAGCCCAGAGACTAGTAATGACTCTGTCACTCTCCCCATTCAATTTTTGGGGGGGGGCCATAGGGCTCCGCCATGGCCGCCCGAAGGGCCTCCATCGCCATGGCCACCCGAAGGGTCCGCACCGCCATGGCCACCCGAAGGGTCCGCACCGCCATGGCCGCCCGAAGGGCCTCCATCGCCATGGCCGCCCGAAGGGTCCGCACCGCCATGGCCGCCCGAAGGGTCCGCACCGCCATGGCCGCCCGAAGGGTCTCCACCGCCCTGGCCACGCCCATGTCCTGCTCCGCCCTGGCCACGTCCTGCTCCGCCCTGGTCGCCTTCACTTCCTGCTCCGCCCTGGCCGCCTGCACTTCCTGATCCGCCCTGGAGGCTTCCCGTCCCAGTTTGGCCACGCCCTGGCCAGCCTTCAGGGCGCCCGCCCCCCCACCCCATTGATGTTCTACGGCGCGAGGTCGCGCCTTGTTGAAGGGGGGCGTTCTGTCACAGTCTTCGTCTGCACCTGTCTGTCTTAGTCATCTTCACTACACTACCCAGAATCCTCCTTGTCTCCACACCTGTACTCACTCCCTCATTATCCACCTGTCCCTCGTCATCATCATCTGTGTCACCTGTCTTCACCTCGTTAGTGTTCATTTGTCTCTGTATTTAGTTTGCTTCTGTTCATTCAGTCTTTGTCGGTCGTCGTCTATGTATAGTGGTATTAGTATGAGTTTTGTTTGCCTGCCTGTACCTGTTTTGAGTTTGTTATCAGTAAATGTTTAAATTGGAGCCTTCTTGCCTCAGACTCTTCTTCAACCCGCACCACAACCCTGACAAGTTTATTGCACTTTTTTGTCGATTTGTATTTTGTTTAATTCGTGTTTGATTCTTTTTAACCAGATATCACAATTTATTTACTTCATACTTAACATTGAGCCCTATTCATATTATAAGCAGGGCCTAAAACTAACTTTTTGCCACACCTGCCAATGGCCGGTGACTCAAGAAAATTTACAGGGCAAAACTTTTTTTTTTTTTTACTTGCCATGACACAATTTTGAGAGTAGTGAAAATTCAAAATTCTCTATTGCAATTTTGATTTCCCAGCTAAAACTACTAGCTTTACTAATATAAATTTAATAGCCTACATTTTTAAAGTAAACAGCCAGTAATAAAATAAAACCAAACAATCAAATTACAAGCAAAAGCACCAATAAATACAATACAACAAAGATACAAATGAAATAAACAGTCCTCTTCAGTTATTCAATTTAATAAAGTTGGCTAATCAAATAAATAATACTGCATAGTATTCATATTCTTTTTTTAGTTCAAGACTAGTGTTTTTTTTTCTTTTTCTTTCTTTGTCCTTTGTTGTTTGGTTAAAAGAGAACTCCGGCGCAAAATGAACCTTTGGTCTAATTACACATTTTTACCTAGTCAACAGTTATCTGAGATTTGTTTTCATGATTATCGAATGTAAATAGTTTTTATCTCTAAAAACAGCTTAGCCTATAAAGCTAGTATAACGCTAGTATATTGGGCATAGAGTAATGACAAATAAAAATCGCTTGTTAATACCACTAACAAGGCTCAAAATAGCCCCACACTAACACGGTAGCATAATGAGGGTCCCTACCTTCAAACCGAAGCATTGAGAACTTTGTCAGTGTCCAGACAGTTTAATAAGAAGATATTTTATATAGGAGTACTGATGTTGGCTGGGTGCTGGTAGGTGGATGAGTAGTGATGGTGGCTGGGTGGTAGGTGGCGGATTAGTGATGTTGGCTGGGTGCTGGTAGGTGGAGGAGTAGTGATGGTGGCTGGGTGGTAGGTGGCGGAGTAGTGATGTTGGCTGGGTGCTGGTAGGTGGAGGAGTAGTGATGGTGGCTGGATGCTGGTAGGTGGAGGAGTAGTGATGTTGGATGGGTGCTGGTAGGTGGATGAGTAGTGATGTTGGTCGGGTGGTGGTAGGTGGATGAGCAGTGATGTTGGTCGGGTGCTGGTGGGTGGATGAGCAGTGATGTTGGTTGGGTGCTGGTAGGTGGATGAGCAGTGATGTTGGTTGGGTGCTGGTAGGTGGAGGAGTAGTGATGGTGGTTGGGTGCTGGTAGGTGGAGGAGTAGTGATGGTGGTTGGGTGCTGGTAGGTGGATGAGTAGTGATGTTGGTCGGGTGCTGGTAGGTGGATGAGCAGTGATGTTGTTTGGGTGCTGGTAGGTGGAGGAGTAGTGATGGTGGTTAGGGTTAGAATTAAAATATTTAAAAATTTAAAAATTATTAATGGAAAACAGCACCATTGTGCTAAATTTGGAGCAATTTTTTTTTTTGAAAGTGAACTAATCCTTTAACAATAAGAGTTTGGGCAAATGGTGACTACATGATTATGCTGAAATGAAAACACACAGTGAAGGGAATTAACACTTGCTGTGAATTTGGAGCTGTCAACTCTCTCATAACCAGGAGGGTATATGCAAAAACTCTTTAAAACTAGGTGGTATGCCTGCATATAGCCATATACATTACTACCTATGCAGGACAATCTCTGTTCCATTTGGGTTTTAATACGGAACGCTACTTTTGTTTCCTAGATATGGGAAGATTATGTATTATATGGAACGGTTGGCAACCCTAACCACTGGTCGAGATGTGTCTTTTACTTTGTACATTTAAACTAGGGTTAACATGTATTTGTCTTTTTTCACCTTAGACCTGATGGCGCTGAAAGAGGAGAGAAGAATGAAATGGAAGAGAAGCCTCATGATTTAATAACTGAAGAAAAATGTTTTTGCTCACAGACTCAAAAGACTTCCACTAAAAAGAGCTCGGAAAACAGGATCTAGAAGTTTCACCTGCTTTCAGTGTGGAAAATGTTTCAGTCAACATGCAAACCTCGATACCCATTTAACCTCCTGAGACCCGAGAGTTTTCCTGGTGTGCATTTTATAAATGTTCTTGCTATTTGGGATAAGTAGGACCTAATAAGTATAATAACTAAAATTTGTTTTTGTACAGGAAGTAGTTTTTGCATAAAAGAATGTCCTCATGCGAGGACAGTGGGTCCATCATAACTTTATGAAATATTATTTGCTGTTGGGGCCAGAAGGTCCTAATTAGTCAAAATTCAAAATTTCAGCTTAATACAATAAGTAGTTCTCTCAAAAATGAATGTCCTATTACGAGTACAGTGGGTCTATCTTACTGTATGACACAAATAGACTCCATTGGTAAAAAAGTTCATTTGACACATTTTCACAGTTTATTTGAAAATGTTAAACATCAGAGTGTATAGCCTACATAGAAAGTAAACAGCCTGAAACATGGCTAATAAAAAAGCTGCAAACTGTAACAGTAACAGTCCAAAAACAGTTAGTTTTTGACCGATAGTTCACTTGCTTTGGTCCGGACCAAATAATTTATTTATTTATTCATTTTTGGTACGGTTCGCTTTCACACTGCTCTTTTTGCAAGTGAACCAAAATTTGTAAACAAAACCACACGTGTGCTAAGGTCATCCATTCATTGGACAAGGATTGTCAAGTAGGGAAATCAGTAGGGGTGTAACGATACACAAAATTGACGGTTTGGTTTTCCCACGGTTTTGACGTCTCGGTTCGGTTCGGTTTAGAAAGCTAAAATTGCTTTTTTTTTTCTTTCTTTTTTTAAACAGTGAATTAATTTAAAGACAAAGATAATTTTTTCGTTAAACCAATTACAATTAAACGTTTCACAAGGATTAAAAAAAAATCTGCTAATTACTATAACATTAAAGGTTGTAGCCTAGAGTTTTAACCTAAAATCAGATGCTATTTATTTTTTAGATATAATAATCAACACACAACACATTGTATGAAAACATGTAAACTGAACATAAGGCAGTTTTTGCATTAACTTGTGTTTTTACTCTAATTTGTTATTGAAATATAATACTTTACACAGTTGTCATTTTCATGAAAGATATTTTAAACATACATTAAATAATCAAGATATCATTAACAGGTTAAGTAAAATATAATATATAGGCTAACATGGTGCATTTATTTAGTGCAAGAGTTCATTTATAGGAACCAAAGTTGTGGACACTGAATCACTTGCCTGTTGAGGTAAATATAATGCTAGTGACAAGCTATGCTGTTTTATTGACGTCTTTCCGCTGCTGAAACACTGATTGAGCGATTACACGAATTATGATGCCTTTCAGTAAGTATACTGCATCTTTCAACATACCTTCAGGTGTCCATTCTGTAACTGAGGAAGAGATGATCGCGTTTACCCGCGCTGCCGCTTGAAATGAGGAGCTTAGTAGGCATACAGCGATCTGTCACGCCACATCAAAGAGCGCCAAAACGCCATTTATTGTTTGAATTTCGTGATCAAATAGACAGAATTTGAAAGATTACACCTTGCTTATTATCGAAAGTAACAAAACACGGAGCTTGTTATTTGGTGTTAATGGTGGTTAGGCTACAAAACTGAATTTGTTGTGTACTGTACACAAGACATGAGGTCCATTGAGCCGGGCTGGGCGGGGCCGGGATTAGCAGGGGGCGGGGCGTGTTCGGTTTGCAATGAGAGTATCGCGATTCGAATCGTGTGTTCTGTATCGCGGTTTTTCGGTTCGGTTCGAATATCGTTACACCCCTAGAAATCAGGAAGTGCAAAAAAGGCTCAGCATGGAGATATTTCGTACTGCAATATTTGGTATTTGATTAATTTTGTGTTATTCTGTACAAACGTAATATGAAGAAACTGCGCAGAAGACGGATAGGGTATAAAGTTTTCATTCATAGAGAGGGGCTATGTTCACACATTCAAATAATGAGATTCTTATTGTATATACTGCTAACAAGTGCTGTCAATGTTAACGCTTGCGATTAAGTTTGTCCAGTTTAACGCAGCATCATCCTTGTATTGTAACTATCGTTACATTATATCAGGGATTCCCAAAGTGTGGTACGCACACCCCCAGGGGTACGCGAGCTGCCACCAGGGGGTGCGCGAGAGGAAAAATGTAATGGCGGTCTGTTTTTTTAAGTAAGATTTTTCCATTCAATAAAAAAAAAAATCATGAACAGTAAACATTTCCTTTGTAATCGCTTTTATTTTAAATAAAAAAAAACTATAATTTATTAGTTTTTGATAAAAACGTAGAAGAAGACAGCTGATGTCTTCTTCTACGCACTTCTCTTCTTTTATGCACTGACTGCCGCTATATGCGCGCCAAATCGTTTCATTCATTCCATACAAATACTATATATATTATAAATATGCTTAACTGGCTGAAATCAGGGAAACTGTCAAGTGGGACTTCTTGTGATAAAGTTGTTAGTCACGAAGGGGGAGAGGGACCAAGAGAGAGTGAGGATTTGGAGGCAACAGAGACGGAGAGAATAGAGAAAGAAAATGAGCGGGAGTCCGAAGATGCGCCGGCGGAAACCGAAGAGGAGGGAAGGAGATGGCAAAAAAGAGGTGATGAGAGTGAACACCAGACGGGTAAAAAAAGAAGGAAATATGATGACAATTATCTGGGTCTGGGCTTCACTTGGATCGGCGATACAGATTGCCCGAAACCTCAGTGCGTGTTGTGCAGTGAAGTTTTAGCAAACAGCTGTCTGAAGCCGTCTTATCTCTGTCGTCACCTGCACACGAAACATGGCAATTTAAGTCAAAAGCCCCTTTTATTTTTTAAAGCAAAGTTGGAGGAGTTGCAGAAAAGCCAAAAAAAAATGCAGTTTCATTCATGCGTTGGGTCTACGAAAGACGCATTACGGGCTTCATATCTGCTCAGTTACAGAGTAGGGAGAAAGGGGCTGCCGCACACAATCGCCGAAGACGTGTGTTTGCCAGCGGCCAAAGAGATGGTGGAGTGTATGATTGGAGAGAAAGAGGCAAAAAAGTTGGACATGATTCCTGTGTCCAATAACACTGTGTCGCGCCGCATTGATGCCATGGCTGAAGACATCCTGGCTACACTAGTCAGCCGTGTGAAGAAAAGTGAGTTTTACTCTCTGCAAGTAGACGAGTCTACAGATGTTGCAAATCTGGCCAATCTTCTTCTGTATGTCCGTTACCATTTTGAAGGAACAGTACAAGAAGATTTTTTGTTCTGTCGGCCCCTTGCTACCCGAACAACAGGGCAGGAAATCAGCTGGTTACACTGCAGTATTCACAGAGAGGCCCTCGCAGCCAAAAACATGCCAGCTGATCTACTTGCAGTGCTGAACGACGCAGTCAAACTGGTGAACTTCATTAAAGCTCGTCCGCTAAATTCACGAATATTCACACTGTTATGTAATGAGATGGGCAGTGAACACAAATCACTGCTGCTGCACACAGAGGTGCGTTGGCTGTCCCGCGGCAAAGTGCTGACAAGGCTCTTTGAACTCCGGCACGAATTGCAGCAGTTTTTTGAGGAGAATCCGTTTCATTTGGCCTCCAGTATGCATGACGAAGATTTTCTGAAAAGGCTCGCCTATCTAGCGGACATCTTCTCAGCTCTGAATGAACTCAATCTAAGTCTGCAGGGAGTCAGTGTAACTGTGTTCAACACACAAGACAGGATTGAGGCCATGATAAAGAAGCTACGGTTCTGGGCGAGTTGTGTGAGTGGGAACACACACCCGTGTTTCCCTACGCTTCACGAGTTCTTAGGGGAAAATGACATGGACCTGGGTGAGCATGTAAAAAGTCTCATAATTGAACACCTCAACCAACTCGCCGAGCAGCTACGGAAACACTTCCCACCTATGGACACATTTCGCGCTTGGATTCGCAATCCATTTGAAGTTTCCCTGCCCGTCCCACAGCTGTCATTTCACGAGCAGGAGCAGCTGATCGAGCTGTCATCTGATGGAGCACTGCAGTTACAGTTCAAACGAAAGCCACTTGTGGATTTTTGGACCGAGTCACTGAAATCATACACAGTCTTGGCAAAGCAAGCCTTGAGAGTTTTGATGCCCTTTGCCACAACTTATCTCTGCGAGGCTGGTTTCTCTGCTATGGCAGCAGTTAAAACTAAACATCGGCAAAGACTGGATGCTGTTGAGAAGGAATTGAGGCTTAAACTGTCTTCCATTGCGCCAAACTTCGGAGAGCTTTGTGCCAAGATGCAAGCCCACCCGTCGCATTAATATGGGTAAGTAATTTGATATTATTGCTACACATGTATATAAGGCCTACTGGGAATAATACTAACACATCCTCCTCCCCGTCTAACTCCTCCCTCTCTCTCTCTCCCTCTCTCTCTCTCTCTCTCTCTCTGCAGGCTGACTTTTGCGCTGCACTTGAAAAGTTCCAGATGGATCCTCTTTTAATTTATTTTATGTTTGAGCCTATACTCTTTGTTAATTATGTTGTGGATCGTGTGTAGGCTAATTTTATTGTCGCACTTGGAAAGTTTCAGATTGATCCTCGTTTTTTATTTATTTTATCTATTTCGGAGCCTATTCTCTTTAATGTTGTGGAGCGTTTGTAACTTCATTGCAATTTAATTCTACTGTCTTTCTAATTTCTATAACCGTTGTGTTATGATGATGATGATGCTAGCTCCACGGTCATTTAATAGGCCTAGCCTGCTGCAATGTTTCTTTTATGCGGCTGAAAATAACCGTGCTTTCTGTTACTGAGCCTGTGTCTGTCACTCGTCCTCTTAAAGTTCACTTTAAAGAGGACGAGTGACAGACACAGGCTCAGTAACAGAAAGCACGGTTATTTTCAGCCGCATAAAAGAAACATTGTGTGCGTAGCTTTGTTGCATTATATTGAAACTTTTATTTTAAATATTTTTATGATTGTATTATTGTAGGCTACTTATGATATTATATAATTATACTATTCATGACTATTTTATTCGCTGTATACTATTTGTTTATTTTATTGACTAAACTATTTACTATTACTTCTCACTTTCTCACTTTGTTGATGTTGTTATTGTCATGCGTGTTCTGGTTATTTGCGCATGATTAAACATGAGTCTTTATATGGCGATAAAACAAAGCTTTGTTGCGTGTTTTTATTTAAGTGGGGATTGGGGGTGCGCCAACCCGGTTGGGAAATAGAAGGGGGTGCGCAGGAAAAAAAGTTTGGGAACCGCTGCATTATATGAACTGCAAAAGCTTTTTTTGCATCTATGCAAAGACTAAAGAGAACGCTCTGTATGTGAATGTCCTGATGCACACACTCATTCATTCATTCCATTCCAATGATGCACACACGACGCGCAGAAAGACGCGCAACAGTATCGTGTGGCCAGACAGCGCGCCGGAATGGAATTCTCTTTGGCACTTGAACAACAATAACACAAACCATTATGCCAAAATCTCCGACTACGGAAGCCTGTTAACTCAAAGGCGCAGTGCTTTCTTGCAATTGGGTCGGTTTATGTTCACACCGTAAACGAACCGTACCAGAGTTCGTTTGGAACCGTAACGAGACCACCTCTTCAGCTGGGTCTCGGTTCGGTTGTTTGGTCCGCACCAGAGTTCGATTGCTGTATTCACACCTGCCCAAAAGGTCCGCACCAAAGGGGGAAACGAACTTGAGTTCGATTCAACCGAACCAAACAAGGCAGGTGTGAATACACCCTTAAATTCAGCAGAGCAGCCTTTGAACTGTGGCTTTTTTTCTAACTAGCTCCCTCTATCTTTCCAGCCTGTCTGGAATAGCCCCTATAGGCCGGTGTGAAATGCTGCAAAGCCGTTCCAGTCACTTTGCAAGCACAGATACACATTGCATGTCATGCATCGCAGATGGGATTTCCCAGTGCAGCCTTGTGCTCTGCAACGTATGGGGTTTTTCAAGGCCACCATCTCCGGGAGATGAGCAGCACTGGAACGGACTGAGATATGGGGGATTGGAGTGACCCGAGATTTTTTGCCTGGTGGTGGAAGGTGTCCGTTCTCATTCTCCTCTTCTGCGACATGAGCACCTTCATGAAGAACATCACACTTGCTGAGGAATACCTGAGCCACTACCATGCGAAACTCAAGAAACTTTGATAGATTTCCTTGTGGTGCCATTTTCCTGGTTATCTCTGCGATACAGCAGCCAGCTGTTGACAAGGGCAAGATCTGTGAAGTGCATCAGCATGCGAATTGTCCACCTTTTCGTCCGCACAGACATTCGGTAGTAGCTCATCATCCTGTCTGACATGTCAACACCTCCCATCTTTGAGTTGTACTCGCGCACAATGCTTGATCGTGTCACGGTCACATACTTTTTTCCCTTCTTGGACCACCGCTGGCAAGTATCTTCTGGCTTCTGGCTTCACAACTGGCTTGTTGTCGTACCACTTGACCACGCATAGTTTCCCATCTGCCCTGGTTACTGTAGAGACGGCACCTCTCCCTTGGTGTTTCAGGGTTTTGTCATCGGGTAACTTGTTCATTGCTTGTTTGACTCGGCCCTTCATCACTGTACCAGTAAGATAAATATCATCCTTCAGCATGTGATCAACTACTTGTATGGTAGTAAAGAAGCGATCACAACACACTTGTGTGCCAGCAGTGAGGGTTTCAGAAAGACGTTTGATGACTAGTGTTCCTTGACCCAATCCATCTGAGTCCTGAACCTTCGAAGCCAGGGTTTTTTAACCTTGATAGACTTCAAAGTCTAGCATGAGTCCATCCACAGATGCCAGCACAAAGTTCTTCATTCCCACTGGATTTGGCTTTAGTGGCAGGTATTGTCGGAATGGACAGACCCCTGCAAACGGGATCATCTGTTCGTCTATTGAGACGCATTCTGGACGAGCCTGAAGGCGGCAGCTGGTAAGTATACGGTCCATAAAAGGCCTCACCTTCCACAATTTGTTGGTTTCCCTCTTATCTTCTGAGACATCATAGTCAATAACTACTTTCAGATGGCTCCTAAGTTTGAAGAAGCGATCACGTGACATTGTTACTAATGGCGGGGATTTGTAGGGCATTGGACCAAAACATGCTTATCTGTGGATAGGGCACGCAAGACATTAAGATTGCTGCTCCAAAAAAGTGATACATCTCATCTACTGAAGTTTTGAGAGATCTCCCACTGTTACCCAGTGACATGGCATTTGTGCAGTCAGCAATGAGTTTCATCAGATCTGAGTCAATGTACTGCTCCACATAATCCAGTGGCTGCCAACGTGTTCGCTCATCTTTCAGTCTATCATCTCCATCCTGAAACTGGACCAAATTTGGTCTAAATGGAACAAACCTCCAGCGTTCTCCACGTCCAGCATTCCTTGGTTCTGGTCTGGGCTCTCCATGTCTCTGATCTTCCTCATCCAGCTCATCATTCTCAACATGCTGTTGTTTACGTCCACGTCTGTGCACTTGTGGATGATTTGGCTGAATTTCATTCTCGGAGTCAGTATCTTCAGGATCTTCAGCTGCATCAGGTGGTGTGTATTCTTCACAGGAATTATCTCCTGGCGAAAAATCAGGTTGCTCATCCATGCGGTCAACATCTTGTGGAATGACTTCGCCCACAGCAGGATCATTATCTTCCCCATCTGAGAGGTCACCTCAGAGATCACCTCAGAGTTGTCTGCAATTGCCATGAGCAGTCGTTCTGCTCTCGACAATGAAAGTTTCGCTGTAATGATAACGTGAAAAAATTAGAGATCCAGCTTTTTGGCTACCGATACCAATACTAGGGTCTTAGTAGGCATATCTGCCGATATCTGTGTAGCTTTCTCTGAGTGAAATATTGAATTGACTCTTTTCTCCATTTTAAGATCAATAAAGTCATATTTTATTGTCATTATAGAATGATTTACCAGGATTCTAGCATGATTCACCTTGATAAACCATATTGTAGTATTATTTACTATCATTTGCCATGTTTCAAGTGTGATTTACTCTGCTCACACAGACACTCACACTGAAAAAGGAAACCTTAAAGTCCACATGAGAATTCACACTGGAGAAAACCCTTTCACCTGCCCTCAATGTGGAAAATGTTTTCCTAAAAAAAAAACCCAGCCTTAAAGTCCACATGCAAACTCACACTGGAGAAAAGCCTTACACCTGCCCTCAATGTGGAAAATGTTTTTCACAAAGAGCAACAATTAATGCCCACATCAGAACTCACACCGGAGAGAAGCCGTTCCCATGTGATCAGTGTGGAAAGAGTTTCGGACGTAAAATAAACCTCAGTTGCCATATTCACATTATATTGGAGTGACCCTCATTTTTGACTCTTTCTCCGCTAGCATTTTTGAAAAAAGTTGCCAGCCACTGCCAGCATATTTCATCATTTTCACAACATTTCATGGCCCGCAAAATATTTTGTGGTTTGAATATTTGAATATACAATTTATCAAAAGAAAAGACAACTTATTCTAGCTTCATATATTCTTTTTTTTAATCAACACTTGAATGTGGGTAAGTTTCATTAAAAAAGCTTTTGATTTTGAGCAAAAAGCTGAGAAAACCAATTTTTTTATCAAAGACTACATCCAGATTGGATTCAAAGCAATGATCAAAATATAGATGGAGTAGATCGAGTCCATCAACACCCACAAAGCTTCACAGTCCTATATCTCATCCTGGGTCGACATTTCATTCAGTAACATTAGGCAGTTTTGATTTATATACGCTGATTAATGTTGACGATCGCTTTATTTTACATCTGCTGCTTCTTCTGTGTGTTGATCTGGAGATTCAGTACTCTTCCAAAAGATGTGAAATAGCGCCCCCTACCGTATAACAGTGAAAACACGGAAAGCCGGTTTGCTGTTACATTGTTACATTGTTTTATTAATAAAAGGACAAATACTGAAAGAAATGTGGACTTTTGGATCTGAGCTCCAGCTGTGAGCTGCATAATACCTAAACATGTCTAGTTGTCTACAGTGGAAAGAATTTTTTTGTGAAACCTTTGATAATATCTGGATTTCTGCATTGATCACTATAATCTGTGATTAGATCTTAATGTAATTCACAATCATAAAAAATGATAGTGTAATCTGACTGTTTTTCTATTAAATACATTTAGTAATCATTCACAGTGCAGGGTGGAGAAGGGAAGTGAACCCTTAAATTTAGTAACCAATTTTGGACCATCTCTACCAACAAATCTGTTTCAGTTTCTCAATATTTATGTTGTACAACAGCGTACAAAAATGGCAGGCCTCCGGAAAACACAT